TGAACAGCTGTATTACTTCAATAAAATGTTACTGAATACCTCGTGTATGTGTTCTTCCATGTATTGAAATAGACTATTATATAGTGAAGGAGGTTATGTGGTGAACAGCTGTATTACTTCAATAAAATGTACTGAATACCTTGTGTACGTGTTCTTCCATGTATTGAAGTAGACTATTATATAGTGAAGGAGGTTATGTGGTGAACAGCTGTATTACTTCAATAAAATGTACTGAATACCTTGTGTACGTGTTCTTCCATGTATTGAAGTAGACTATTATATAGTGAAGGAGGTTATGTGGTGAACAGCTGTACTACTTCAGTAAAATGTACTGAATACCTCGTGTACATGTTCTTCCATGTATTGAAGTAGACTATTATATAGTGAAGGAGGTTATGTGGTGAACAGCTGTAATACTTCAATGAAATGTAATGAATACCTTGTGTACGTCACAATATGTGTACATAAACAAAGTGTATTTTTAAACTACATGTGAATGTTGTATTTATATGGATTACATGTAAAATAATAGGTTTGTCAATAAAAATATTTATAATGAGTTGTCAATTATTATGGAAATTAGTACTGTCGAAGGTTCGAATATTCATTTGGTAATATGTTTCAAAGGTCAAAACCTGCCCCTTTGTTACAGCCATTTGAGTTATATCCAGTAATCACAATTCATAATGTTCAACCGACAACTGTTCTTGCTCTAAACCGAAAAAGGGTGTGTGTGTGAAACCCCGTGTAGCAGTGCATTTGTTAGACTGTAGTTAAGAAGACTGATCTATAACTATAAAGTTTTTAAGATGGATTATGTAAATTTAAACATGAAAATTATATATATATTGATAAGTCCTTCCAATATTTCTTTAAGCATCATGTTTATTTTCTTCTAGTACCAAGTGTATTATCACAAAAATACATGTTAACAAATGCACTGCTACACGGGGTTTTCATGTTAACAAATGCACTGCTACACGGGGTTTTCATGTTAACAAATGCACTGCTACACAGGGTTTTCATGTAATCTTTTATATCGGCAGTTCCCAACCTTTTCACCACCGAGAACCCCATGTTTTTTGAAAGATTCCATCTACCCAACAAACTGTTTTTCTTACTAATAATTAACTGGTTTTTCCATTTTTCACTATCAAATAAAAGACATATACAACTGAGTGTTCAATTAAAAGAAGAGTGGAATTAAAAAAACTTACTTGTTTAATGAGATGGTATTATCTTTACGGACCCCCAGGTTGGGAATCACTGATATATATATATATTTGGACTGGTGTATTATTTGTTTTGAATTTTACTGTTCTCAATTAAAGTAATGTGATACACTTAACAATCTATAGATGCTTCCAAGTTACTGAATATAGAAGAGATGATTAGTACTATTCCAGTTTTTGATTTAAATGTATTTTTATGGTTCTCACACTGCACGTACGTTAGTATCCTGTAATAATAATTGATGGTAATTGGGTTGTTAGTCTTATAACATCAAACATCCTATTAAAAGTAGTTTGTTATATCAGGTGTTAAAATGTTAATAAGTACAATTTAATGGTTTCTCCCATTTCACACTTTGTAATAGGTAAAGATAAAGTACAGAGATTAGCCATTGAGCTAATGGTATAGGCTGTTTGGTGAATAAAAAACATAAAACTATAAAATATTGTGTTGTGGTGTGTTTTAGTGTTTTAATTTTTGTGTATATTTTCTTTGGAGTAATGAATTCCCAAAAAGAACCAAAACTCAAACTCTTTTGAAGTATTGGAATATACTTTTGAATTATGTGTATTATTAATTGGTAATCAAAATTTTGTATTCTTATATTTAGAAAGAGACTTTTCAGATGCTAATTTAACACTATTGACAGTATGAAATGGCAGATGGTAATTTAACACTATTGACAGTATGAAATGACAGATGCTAATTTAACACTATTGACAGTATGAAATGACAGATGGTAATTTAACACTATTGACAGTATGAAATGGCAGATGGTAATTTAACACTATTGACAGTATGAAATGGCAGATGGTAATTTAACACTATTGACAGTATGAAATGGCTAATCACTATTATTGAAGATTTTTACTATGATATAGTTGAATATAATTTGCCATTTCACACATGCCGAAAATAAAGTTAGTTTTAAGGAATTGATGTGGATTTAATAATCATTACATTTTGGTGGCTTATCGCAATGTAATTATAGAACAAAGTTAGTTTTAAAGAAATGAGGTGGATTTAATAATCATTAAGTTTTGGTGGCTTATCACGATGTAATTACAAAATAAATAAAGTTAGTTTTAAAGAAGTGAGGTGGATTATCGCAATGTAATTATAGAACAAAGTTAGTTTTAAAGAAGTGAGGTGGC